GAAAAAAAAAAAAAAAAAAAAAAAAAAAAAAAAAGAAAGAAAAAGGGAAAAGGCAAAAGAAAAGTGGTCCAGCTACTACATGGTTGTGCACACATGTAGTAACTTCAACACTCTGAGAAGCTGAGGCAGAAGGATCACAAGTTCAAGTCTACACTGATAAATTCAGTGAGACTTTGCTTCAAAATAAAACCTTAATTTTTTTTTAAATAAAGAGGCTGGGGATGTAGCTTAGTGTGAAAGCCCTAGTACCACCACTGAAAGACATGTGGGAGGGGGTGAGGTCCAACTATGAGGAATCAGCTTTGAGTCTGTCCACCACCACCACCACCCTCTAACTCTGTGTCAGATAGGGCTCACTCACACAAGCAAAGCCGTTAGGAGACACACGCATGTGGATATCCAAGTGCACATACACACGCCCAACAGAGGATTTATGACAGGACTCTCACCTCATGCAACTGCGGAAATGGGTTAGAGTCCATTAGGCTGCTGTCTCCACATCTGCTGCTGGACCTCAAGGTCCACAGGGCCAAGCACAGGAAAGGAGCTAAAAGTGACGTAACAGAGAAGGAAGAGGAGAACGCATACGTGTGCTGTGGAACCCACATTAGCCTTTCACACCATAGGCGGAAGTACTCCCAGAACAGAATTCTGGGAAACACCCCAGCCTTGCTGAGTCAGGTCGTCTGCCCGCCATAGTGGTTTTCCTTGGGGAGGTCCCTGCTGGGACAGAGCACAAAGGACTGGGGTTCTGGGAATGTTCTGCTTGTCTTATCTAGGTATTTCCACAGCCGTGTTTATTTTATAAAAAATTAGAAAGGCGAATACTTCAGAATTGGGACATGTACTGTGTATATGTTATATCTCAATATTTACTTTTAAAACATTGGCAAATTTTTATGGAGAAGACTTAAGAAACCAAAGAGAAAAAAAAATAATTTCAGTCTCTAAAGATATCTACTGTTACTTTGACCCCTTTCTAAGATACAGATACTTGCACATGCCTCTCCTTATACCCGTTACTTCCCATGCCTTACATTGTTTTATAGATGATTTTCTCTATTGCCATCATACTATGGGATTTTCCATGTCGATCAATATTCTTTCATAGCAGAATTTTAATGATGCCTAGAAGTCTGATGCAGGAATCCCCTTTGGGTAATTTCCTCTTAATTTTTAGTTGTTACAAGTAATCCTTGTGCTGTCTCCTCCTAAACTGTCAACAATAGATTCACCCAGGAGGCTGTGTTTGTTCTTGTATTTCAATAAGGGACATTCAAGGCAAATACTGGTTTTTTGAACAACAGCCTCAGCTATCCAGTATATATTTTGGAGGGTGGCCTAATCTCCCCAGGCAGGAACACATTTGAAGAAGCAGCAGGCCTGGTGAATGTGGGGCTTTCAGAGAACTCAGCCTGTCTCCTGGACTTGCTGTCTCCACATGGGAACAGCTGGGCATGGAAGCATTTCCTGTCTGGTTTCCACTTGAAGGAATCCTTTAGCAGAAAGCAGCACTCAATGCAAACTGCACAGCCCCTCTGAGGATTGGGAAAAAGCAGAAGCTTAAAAAGACTCCTGAGATGAAAACTAGACACTCATAAAACCCTGGCTGCTTCCCTGTTTACCAGACATTCAGAATGGATGTGCTAGGTGGTTTCCTGAAAGGAAAGGAAAGTTGATTTGTATTCTAAAGCACTAACAGCTTTCGTCTCTGAGAAAAAAGAAAAAAAGTGTTTCCCAGATGCCAGTACAACTCTTCTTTGAGCCCAAATCTTCCTCTCCAGTCTGCTGGACTCTCCATACCTCTTAGAGGAGATCCAAAGTTGAAGTTGGACTCTAACAATTTTTGTCCTGGTGGGAAAACTGGTATAACACTTTTAAATACCATTCCATGTGCTGATTCTTTGGGGGGCATTATGAAACTGGCTCATGATTAGGGTACACAGCACAGCTTACCAACCCTTCTCCTCCATGCCCAAGGGATGATGGTGAAGGGTGCAGGGACCTCCTTTGCTAGTACAGAGCTTGTACCCTAAATTCCAGTGCATTGTTTGGGGTCTGACTTACATCTCAACAACTGACAACTGTCCAGCGATGCTTGCATAATGCATGTTTGCAATCTGCCTGCATATTTGCATATAATTACAGATTATAGAGAGATAAGGAATGTTCACATAAAAAGGTAAAAGAGTCAGCCAGCCCTTCCCAAGAAGAAGCCCTTTAGCTGTCTCTGGCCCAAACTATACCTTCTCTGCTCTTGGGAATGAGGTGGGCTGAGACCCTCTCCCCTCTGTCCCATTGCACATAATTGGCAATATCCAATAAAAATATTAAATATCTTCATAACTTGTGGACCAATAATATTAATTATAACTTATTTGGGCTTACTACAGGCTGAACATCATTTTAAGCAAGTGCTTTACAAGCATCATTTTCCTGAAGTAGCACATAATCCTTCCTATATTTCAAGTACTGCAATTATCATCTGTTTTATAGACAAGGAAACCATGATGTAGAAGGCAGAGAAAGCTATTTATGGTCCAACACCTCATGGCAGAAACTGCATTTGATCCCAAACAACCAGGCCTTGGTCCGTGTTCGCAGGCATTAGTCCATTCTGTCTTTCTGTAACTCTACTCACATGTTTCCTGGGAACATAAATAGATTACAGGAGGAAAGGTGTTTGGCACACAAAGATATTAATCTCATCGTTATAATAAAGAAAAAAGGAAGTTGTTTAAACAATTGGAGGTTTAGTAAATTAAGGTACACAAAATGTTACATATCTACTAAAATGATGTATAGTCACTTGAATGTTAGCAGGCCCATAAACTTGTTACTGGGGGCTGCTCAACCACCTAACCGAGGGTACAGTGAGGATAAAGAATAATACAAGAGAAAAAGGTTTCTTTAAGTGGGGGACCAGGGAGGTCATAGCTTTCCCAAGGCTAAGACCCTGAGGCTCTGGACTTGCCAGCATTCACTGGTCACACAACATTGCAGGGGGCATAAAAGCAAATGTGGGGACACTTGCGTTAAGGCACCAACATGAACCAGGCTTGTAAAAGGGGAGAACGGTGCATTCCTGCAAAAGATGGGTTGTAATTGACAAGGGACCTGCTTGTTTTCTTAGCTAACGTTTGTTTTGGGAGAATAGCTATGCACAAGTCATAAAAGTCCTGAGCTGTGGTGTTGTCCTGCTTTCAGAGATGCTGCAACATCATTGACCATTACAATCTCAGTCATGACCTTTGGCAGAGAGTGTTCTGTTTCCACACGACAGCCAAAGGCTCATCTAGCAAGTCATGTAGGCCTAGGATAGACTCACAATTTAATCAATAGCCAATGTGTAAGCCAATTCAACATTTGATAGTGTGCCCAGCATGCTTGCAAGCTGGTCTCCTACACTACACATATGGCCACTGAAGACCTGGTGAGGGCAGAGGTGTCCAAGCCCTCGGCTAGCATACTACTGCTGTTTAACAATCACAAATCAGGTGGAAAGCCATTCAAACTCCCATCTATTTCTACAAATATCATTAGCACTTCCTATGGGACAGACACTGTTCTAAGGATTTTGTCTGTATTCACTAACTTAATCTCCAGAAGGCAGTTGCTGTCATGACCCTCTCTGCCTATGAGGACAGAAGAAAAGTCAACAGCATGCAGTGGAGGCATGGTAAATCCAAGATTCAAACCAAAGCAGTCTGGTTCCAGTGTTTGCAGTTTAACCACTACCCCACGTGGAGCCTGCGGTGGGAGCCGCCTTCTTCCCACCTTCCTGTGGGCATAGATGTGTGGCCCTAGCATTAAGGGTGCCACATGCACACGATTCTGAGTCTAGAGCTGGGATTGTATAGGGAATGGGGTCTTTACAGGGCCTGGTGCTGGAGACTGGAACTATTTAGCCACCTACTCCCAAAATACAAGCAGACTCCCCTGAACAGACTTTCATCCACAGAAAGAATATAGTATTTGTATGTGTTTTACACAGATGGCCCGATAGGCACTATTCTGTTCTGTAATATATTATTTTAATCCTATAGTATGACTTAAATTTTTATGACATGGGGCATCTAAGTCATCTCACGTGTTTGAGGTGGCTTCAGAGCTTTTCTAGTCCGAATAGACCGAAGTATATGGAGTCATCCACTCCCCGTTGATGGATGCTGAAGTCTCCAGATCTTTCGTATTTCAGTGATACAAGAACTATCTTTGTACATGCCTTTCTGCAGATGGGCAAGAACCAATGTTTCTCCACCATAGACAGCAAGGTAGAAATACTACAGGATAAGCATGAGCGTCTTTAGGTTTATTGCTCGACTTCAAAGGAGCTATAAGAATCTGCATCCTCCTCAATGAAGGGTTCAAAAATCTGTTTTCCTACAACTTCATCGGTACTCCATATAATCAAACCACTGCAACCATTACACCATGGATTCATAAAAACATTATGCAGCCATTTAACACACATTCTCTGCTTATGAGTAACATCTTACTATATTCTGTGCATTGCCTGCTGATATTCTTGCCCATTTTTCTTTTTTGTAAATCTTTGTTTCTGTTTTGTTGTTGTTGTTGTTTTGTTTTGAGACAGGGTCTCTCTATGTAGTTGAGACTGACCTGGAATTCACTGTGTAGCCCAGGCTGGTCTTGAACTCCCAGTGATCCTCCTGCCTCAGCCTCCCGAGTGCTGGGATTACAGGAGTGCACCACCACTCCTGGCTCTTTTTGTAAATCTTGTTCTGATAACTTTATAGGAGCTTTTTGTGTATTCTGAGTAGTAATACTTTTTATATTACTCACATTGTCAATATTTTCCCCAAGTTTTCAAAACTTGTATTAACTTTGCTTATGGAAATGTAAACATTTTAATCTATATACAGTCAAATTTGTCAGTTTTCCCTTTATGATTTTTCCTTTTAATGGTGTGTTTCAGAAAGCTTTCTCCGCCTCAAGGCCATGTAGATTTTCATCTATATCATACTTCTGTAATTTTTAAAATTAATTCTTTAACTTCCATTTACTATTTTCCTCACTACAACCTGGTTTCCACATTTAATATAATATAATTATACATTTTAAAAATTTCTTGGAATCATTTTCCAACTCCCAAAAATGTGGTTTATTTTAGTCTCTTTTCTGTTTTACTTATTTGATATGTTTGCCAGTCCTGTCTCCTCCCTGAAACATTCATTTTAGCTTCAAAAATGCTTTGTGAATCAATGAAAGAAAAAGTAGCTTTTCTCTAGCTTTCCTGACCACAAAATCTCTTTTCTTTGTCTCTAACTCTGGTTCTCCAGAGATTCATCTCTGAGCCTCTTCTTTTCTCCATATTTGTGTCCTGGCTTCACGCCCATTATCAGTTTCCCACTATTAATATATTATGGATTCTCTATTAATACTTGATTGATTCCATAATGCAATTCCCTTTTCCTACCTCAGTCCAGTGCCCAACCTTTATTTCTAATCATCAGCTAAACAAAGCCAGCTGAGCATCTCATGAAAACCTTAGGATTAACTATAGAATCCCAAACTG